TAATTAATTAAATTAAAGTCAATAATATACCAATTATTATAAATTTATATTTTTTTGTTATATTAAAATTATAATACATAAATAATGCGTCTCTATATAAAGTTAGACGTGTCGACTATTTTATCAATAGACTGCATTAGGGGGCAAAAGATCACATTGTAACAGTGAAAGTTAATATTTATATTATTTTAAGTAAATTAATTATAAAAAAATTGTTAATTACATATTTTTACCAAAAAAAATCATTATTTAATTTATATTATAAATATATATATTTATTTAATAATATATTAATAATTATAAATTTATAACCTTACATGCATGACATTAAATTTACACCATATAAATTAGGGCTAGGCACTATACCATAAACGTCACAATTACCATTGTACCATATCATTACTAATGGAAATGGTATGGTAAATTATTATATGATAAGTTTAAATAATAATATGGTAATACCATTTAGACCTGTGGTACGGTATTGATATTGGAGGTTATTACCATTTTTATTATATGGTTACCAAATTTACCACTTATTCAAAACTTTTTCCTCTTGTTTTTTTTATTTTACAAAGTTTTCAATTGTTGCTAGTTTTTTTTTTTTTTTTTTGATGTGTGCATATTTTGTATAATTATATATTTGTATGCTTCAAGATGATGAAAAATAGTATGGAGAAAATAAATTTCTAAGATAATTTTGAGCTTTTAAGATTGAATTTTAAATGACTTGAATTAATTAATAATGAAAAAAATAAGTTTAAAAATGATAATATAATATGGTATTGGTAAAACAAGTTTTACTACCATTAAAAACGATTGACAATCATTATTAAAAAATTATTAATTAATATAAAAATAATAAATTATCATACCGTACCATGCCCATCCCTAATATAAATGATGCTTCTCTAAAAAGTCGCACGTATCTAGGGCTGGGCATTTTTTAACCGAACCGATTGTTTACCCGAAAATCGAACCAAAAAAATGAATTTGGTTCAGTTTCAACGGTTTTTGGTTTTATTTTTTTGGTTTTAATGTTAATCGAATATATTTTGGTT